TCTCAAGACCCAGGTTCTGTCTTCTACAATGTTTGTGACAGGACTGTCGACATTTTTCATGTCTACCTTCGGTGTCAGGTTCGTTGTCGTAAATTCAATCCCTGAGTTCGAAATGCTGAGTCTTGTCTGTACCAAAGTACATATTACCATCGTGACGCCATACTGCAACAAGCCACAAATACACACAAAAATAACAACAACAAAAACAACAACACACACACCCCAAAAAAACAAAACAAACAAAAACAACAACAAAAAAACCCATGAGTGAGTACAAAGATACCCTGCCTTATATAAACGGGAAACAAATGGTTCAGTACGACAAGGCTTCTATAGGACTGAGGAAATGTTCTCCAACCCAAACGGATAAAGCATCAACTTAGTGTGGCGTGACTATGCCATCTACTGGTATTACACAGGTGGCAGCGTGAAGCATGGCTGTGTTCCAATGTTTCATTATGGCTGTCATAACAAAACTGTGTTTAATAATATCTCTTGTCATGCGGATACGTTTGGTCTTATAGTTTGTTGTATTGTATCGTCGTGTCAGTAAAGTGAGTGGTGTGTGTTGTCTCGCTGTGTGTTGTTCGCTTTGTGAGTGGCGTCCATGTAACGCGTGTGTGTGGTGTTGTTTTGTGTGAATGTGTGTGGTTTTGTGAGCGATGTGTGGTGTGTGTGTGTGTGTGTGTGTGTGTCTGTGGTATGGTGTTGTTTGTATGTGTAAAGTCTTGTGTGTGGTTTGTGAGTGTTGTGTGCGTGGTGTGCATGTGTTTGGTGTGTGTGTGTTTTACAAAATATGGTTTTTACAGACTGTGTGTATGTGACGTGTCTGTGTGTGTGGTGTGTATGTAACGTGTGTCTGTGTGAGTGGTGTGTACGTAACGTGTGTCTGTGTGAGTGGTGTGTATGTGACGTGTCTGTGTGTGTGTGTGGTGTGTATGTAACGTGTGTCTGTGTGAGTGGTGTGTATGTAACGTGTCTCTGTGTGAGTGGTCAGTATGTAACGTGTGTCTGTGTGTGTGTGTGTATGTAACGCGTGTCTCTGTGTGAGTGGTGTGTCTGTAACGCGTTTCTGTGTGAGTGATGTGTATGTAACGTGTGCCTGTGTGAGTGATACGTATGTAACGTGTGCCTGTGTGAGTGCTGTGTATGTAACGTGTGTCTATGTGAGTGGTGTGTATGTAACATGTGTCTGTGTTAGTGGTGTGTATGCTACCCGTGTCTATGTGTGTGTGGTGTGTATGTAAGGTGTCTGTGTGAGTGGTGTTTATGTAACGTATGTCTGAGTGTGTGTATGTAACGCGTGTCTGTGTGATTGGTGTGTATGTAACGTGTGTCTGTGTAGGTGATGTGTATGTAACGTTTTCTCTCTGTGAGTGGTGTGTATGTAATGTGTGTCTGTGTGAGTGGTGTGTATGTAACGCGTTTCTGTGTGAATGGTGTGTATGTAACGTGTCTCTGTGTGCGTGGTGTGCATGTAGCGTGTGTCTCTGTGTGTGGTGTGTATGTAACGCGTGTCTGTGTGTGTGGTGTGTATGTAACGTGTGTCTCTGTGTGTGATGTGTATATAACCTGTCTGTGTGATTGGTGTGTATGTAACGTGTGTCTGTGTGAGTGGTGTGTATGTAACGGATGTTTGTGTGTGGTGTGGGTGTGTGATGTGTGTGTGTTGTGTTGGGTGTACGTTCAGTTTTTTTGTGTATCAGTTTTTCGTGGGTATGTGGTGTATGAGTTTGGTGTGGGTATGTGATGTAGGTGTTTGTGTGGATATGTGTGTTCAGAATGATGGTACCTAGGGACTTAAGCATTTTAGTTCAAATCATTGTCACATGACAGGAGTGGTTTGGGAGTGGAGTAAGGGTCGTGAATGTAGCGTGTGTGTATGTGTGCGTGTGTGTGTGGGGGGGGGAGGGACTAAGTGACTTCGACATTTTAGTTCAAGTTTTGACATATAACAGAAGCCACTCTGAACTAAAGGTTTACAATACACATTAACGATGTGAATAGTGTCCTTTCTGAAGCATTCACAATAGGATATGAACACAACAACAAAGGCTATTAGTTTGTTGCCTAGGCATTCACCAGACACATTTGAACGTTACTTTATTCAGCCTCAAAGTTGAAAACAAAAATACCGCGCTGATATCTCAGAATGATGCCATTGTGGTTGGTTTTTTTCTGCCTTCATGGTGCCGATGTGACCACCCATGAATGAGCTTCAAGTAATATACATGTACTTGTGAAAGAATGATATGTGTCTCTTCGAATGTATGTCTGTAGCACTTATAATTCTAACGATATAGTCCTCTGCATTTTACAATTTTAGTGAGTTTAGTTTAACGCCGCAATCAGAACATTTTACAAAACATGGTTCTATGTAAAATATTTTTACAGACTGCCAATATTCCAAGGTCCTGACCCCTCTTACTTAATACCGCTGCTTACTATGTCATCATTTTCGGAGTGGAAGTGTCCCACCCAGGAATCACTTGGTAAGTGAAATATAGATATACTGAGGATTTGATTCCTAAGAATCCCCTAGAGAAAATGTAATCACTTGTATAACCCATCTCGTCGGTTTCTGTTTGTAATGATATTCCTGCTGAAACAAATACATGTATATGCTTATGGTATAGTCACAATTGTCCAATCGAGATTTCTTATGGACGTGGAAAAGGTTTTATCGCTTCTGTTGCAATCAAAACGTCAAATTGTGTATAACAGTATTGATAACTTATAATAATATATATAAAATAAATTTTCCAGTCGATATCAGTCCAAACAGGCATATTCTTTGTAAATGTAAATCCTCTCCAAATCCATAAAAAATATCTAAAAGTTGATTGTACAATTTCGAATATATCATGAGTATTTGTCTGTGGATGGCTATTAAGTAGTGGTGATGCCAGATGTTATCGAAAGTTGAAATCTGATATGTTAACACACCTTAATTATATTTCATGTTATTGTATGATTTTAGTCAATATTTGAATGGTCATTCATCACTGTTTTCCAGCACAGTTCTATGAAAACTCCACAATGAACACCTCCGTCAACTCACGTGGACTGCTTCCAGTACCGGATGAATTCGTTATTAATAAAATACAACAGGTGATCCGTCGCTTAAAGTTCACGCTCTAACAATGGTTGAAAACATATCAGTGATGATTAATAAAACATGGTGGTATTAAACACCTGGAAAACTGACCGTCATGTATGAGAATAATATTCAAATGCTCATATTTATTTGCATTGCATGTGAAAATCAAAATTACCGAACTTGGTAGGATAATTTTGTAGTCGGTAAAGGAGAAATTTTCATTATCGCCAGCAGTATCAAGTATTTAAATAAGTATTTATTATTTTGCTATTTGGTTGGTATTTAATGCATTTCACAGATATTCTTTAAAATGCAAAAATATTCATATTTCCAAACTCAATTCAGCGTGTTTAATGCCACAAACAATTCAGAATAATTATGTCGGCTACCCCGCTTCCATATCACACAAATATTAGTTTTATTGAATATTTTGATACCTTTGAAATACACATAAATATATACTTGGAATCTACATCGAAACGTCGGCCTAGGCAACAAACAAGAAGGCGTCATCCATGAAGTTGTGTGCCTCATTTGTCACACAACAACCTCTAGAATGCCGGTCAAATGGTTACTTTGAAATAAGACATACGATCGGACCAATAGCGGCTTTTGTGGATGGATATCTTTGAAACTGATGCAGGTTATGCTCTAATCTGGCCTCGTTTGAAAAATAAATAATAATAATATTGGCATTTCCTTTCTGTTCTTGAGTGTTGGAAGCCAATGGGTGCGTCTGTTGAAATTTACTACTGTTATATTGTAGGCGTTAAGGCAATAATGTGACGACACGTCCATTTGCAATGGATTCATATAACAATTATCCGTTACATTCATCGGCACTTACCATAACTCGGACTCAGTTCCTATATCAAGGCATCAAATCCTATAGTTCCGCATCACGGGATTGTCAGATATCTTGTATAAGATATAGGTTGTGCACTTCATTAGACATTCTTTGTGTGTCCTGTGAATAGAAAACGTCAATGCCAGAGAGTAACTCTTTTCGATTATTCCCCGAACCAGATTCCACTTGGGGCTAAAGGCAAAATACTGGTGAAACTTTATAAGAATAGATGGCTGCAAATTAGTGACGACACCGGGTATTTGGGAAAAGAGAACCAGACTGGGCTCCCTCCTTCTGATCATGACACGGCATATTTCCAAATATACAAACGTGTATCGTCTGTTAGGGTAAACAGGGGCGGTGGGGTAGCCTAGTGGTTAAAGCGTTCGCTCTTCGCGCCGAAGACCCTGGTTCGATTCCCCACATGGGTACAATGTGTGAAGCCCATTTCTGGTGTCCGCCGCCGTGATTTTGCTGGAATATTGCTAAAAGCGACGTAAAAACTAAAACTGAAACTAAACTCACTCATTCACTTATGGTAAACAGTAAATAATTAGTTAACATTTCACATTACCAAAGTCAGTCTTCCGTCAATTTCCTCTTATTGTTTTATCGATGAATGCATTCACAACAGAATCATATTCTGTTTTAAATGTTAAGATTAATTTTTAGGATTTTTTCAACGTCTTACCTTGTATGGCGTGCCTAATATAATTAATTATTCAGTACTGTTTGTTTATTGTATTTGGTGTATGTTGTACATAGAGGCCAGTGCTGTCCAAGTGTGCTATTAGTCCTTATTTTTAAGTTTTGACTCTTACAACAATCATATACAATTCTGATTTCGATTCAATGCAATCCTAATTTTGTAGACGGTAGAAGACTTCTATGATATTTCAAAAATCGTTTTCAGTTTTAAACTGGGCGTAAGTTTCATGTTTCATATCAAAACGTGGAGTGGTGAAGAGAACAAAGGTTAAAATTATCAGAACTTGTAATTAAACGATTATTCTTGAAAGGCTAAAGCTCAGACACACATTATCTTTGCAGTTAATGGGAAGTCTAATGCTGGCCGGAGTCATACACACTTTGGTAGGAGCTACCGGATTGGTTGGTTTATTGCTACGTTTCATTGGTCCCGTGACCATTGTTCCTGCAATCTCATTGGCTGGGCTCTTCCTGTCAAAAGCCGCATCTAAGTTCTCGGAGACACACTGGGGAATTGCTGTTCTGTAAGTAAAAAGACTTAAGACATGGTTTGTTTTTTTCATTATTACCGCTATATCATGAGTTTCACTCTACCGGGATGCGATGACATGCGTTGACCACCAGATATAGTTATATTGCTTGTTTGTTTTCAACGCCACACTCCGCAATATTCCAGCCCAGCAATATGGCGGCGTTCTGTAAATAAACGAGTCTGTGATCAACATCATGAGCATCGATCTACGCAAATGGGATATGATGACATGTGTCAACCGAGTCAGCGAGCCTGACCACCCGATCCCGTCATTCGCCTTTTACAAGCATGGGTTGCTGAAGGCCAATTCTAACTCGGATCTTCACGGGTTAATCACTAACAAAAAGCATGTGTTGGTGAAACCCAGTTCTAAAACGGATAGTCTCGGGTACTTAGGTCATGTGCACACATACGGCCGATATCATACAATGAGGGCTGATTATAAAACGCTATATATTGTTTTATTTCGGGAATATTCCAGCAAAATATGAACATCAGACCTAGACTATATTCATATTATCCATGTGGGACATTGAACATACTATGACTGAATTTCCACGCAGATGATGAAAGAACAACATCTTGTGCTGTCAAAATCAGTGACATATTATCTGCTACTTCTTCCAGAACCGCTGCCATCACCTTCGTTCTGTCGATCAGCATGTCCAATGTTTCCACCCCATTTCCCACGTGGAGCCGACAGAAGGGATTCCATGTGTCGTGGACTAGCAATCACAAAACATTTGCAGTAAGGACATGTCATTTGCAATACACTGCGGTTAAGAATGTCAAGTTGGTTATAATGCCATTTGTTTCTTGAAACGGATTTTGGTAATCTAAAATGACCTATTTGTAATGTCAACCTATTCATATTCCACTATGTAATAACATCAGTCAGGTTCACCTTTCACCATTTAATACTCCCAGCCTTGTTATAATGCAATTTGTTTCTTGGGCAGAACAGACCAAAGAATCTATTTTTATGCCAATATAATTTTAACGCAAATGTATAATACTTTCAATCAGGTCCATCTTTCACCCACTCGGTTTTAAAGCGAATTTTATATTGTCTTATAGACAGACGGACAGACAGAGAGTTTGGTTTCATCTTCCCAAGATAAGGATAGTTAGCGGACTAAAAAGGTTCATTGTCAGCCTTTGAATTATGGAGATATGTTTGGCTTGACTAACTTGTCCAGATTTTTAGTATCGATCTGATATCGATCTGATAATTTTGACTGGGGGTCACCATTTTTATGGAAGCAATTATTAGCGCTAAGAGAGGTGGAATCTGATTGGTCAGTAGAAGGGACATATGAGGGACATAACTCACCTCCACGATCGTACCACGAAATTCCCGCCTAGTATAGCCAGTTAACTCCCTTCGTTCGGGAATATGACATGATCGCCGAAGGTACAAAAGGTGACATTATAATCAGATTGTACTCAGACTGTATTAACATATGAGGAATTTTCTTGATCCGTTATACAATAAACAATATCTGTTTAACTTGTAGGTTCTGATAGCAATGGCTATTGGTTGGGCTCTGTCAGCCATCTTGACCGTCGCCGGAGTTCTGTCTCCGGACCCAAAGAACATCCAATACTTCGCCCGTACAGACTCGCGGACCTACGTCATCAGAGACAGCAGCTGGTTCTCTTTTCCTTACCCAGGTGAACACCCTGAACAAAAGTGTTAGGGATCATGATTATATTTGGTGACGTGAGTACCCAGCTTCATGAAAGTTTCACCCAAATATCCATGACCTCTAACATCTTTTCCTCGGTATAGTACCTCGTTGAGTCGGAAAAATATCGAGAGCATTTCCGATGAAGAATATATTACGATAATTCATTCTTCGTTTAGAAGTAATCGATCTCATGTATACAGTCCAACTGTCCATGGCCCGATGTCAACGAAGACGGTTCATATAAGATCAGTTACCATCAATGTATAACTACACTGTCGAGCCAATGACCGTAACGAAGTCCACCAAAAGGTCAACCAATTATTCCAATCTTGTTTGAACACACTTGTGAGAACATACTCATTATATTTATTTTGGACAGTAGTCCGGAAAGCAGTACGTTCGACACAACAGTGTGTGCCTGTAATATCATTTAATGCCTAAGTCGCCACAGTACTAAATGGACACAGTATTTCATGTATTGATGTAGTCTGGATTCACACTATCAGTCATATCACGTATACACAGGTCAATTTGGAATGCCTCAAATCAACGCCTTTGCAGTCACGAGTTTCTTGATATCAACTATCCTGTCAATTATTGACTCAATCGGCGACTACAGCGCATGTGCGCGAACAGCCTACGTTCCACCACCGCCCGCTCACGCCGTCAACAGAGGCATCTCCGTAGAAGGTGTGATGGTGTTCCTGGCAGGAGGTCTTGGAATTGGTCATGGCACCTCCTCTTATGGCTACAACATTGCTATGATCGGACTGACAAAGGTTTGAACAAAATTAAGAATGATATTAAATATAAGTGCAATAGACTACGATAAAATCAGTAATAGGTGACGGCACTTCGCGATACCTTAGTACTTCCGGTGACAAACAACGTTTCATACCTTCTCGAATGGTCTCATGGTTGTCAGTTGACAGCAAGGAGCCGATAAACCTTGCAGGAATAAAAATGTCCGATCTAACCATCCCCTAATTAGCCAACTATTACGATTGTCAACAGCTGTGACAGCCGAACATGGTTGTACAATTGGTCTGGTCTGTTAAAGTCATATTTAATGGTCGCGCATATTTGGAAACATAACTGGTTCTTGAATACACGCTTGTCACCGGAAATATGGTACCGGAAGTAAGCTTGGCCCCGTCTCGCATATCGCAAGTAGTCGCGCGCAAAGGGAGACAGGAACCAGCTTATTGAGGTGAGGTGAAATTGGGTTTAACGTCGTGCTTGAGAATATTTCGCTCATATGACGACGTGCATGCGTGTGTATGTGTATGTGCGGCTGCTTGTACTAGCCCAGACTTAAGCTGGTTTTATAGTGCTAGCCCACTGAGATACCACGCCGCAGTGAAGCATGAATACTATGGTGGCTGATTAGGGCCTCTCGCGTTATCGCTTTCTCGTCTCGTGATATCGCTTTCTCGCTTTCTCGCCTCCGAATTTTAAGGCGAGAAAGCGATGGCCCTAATCAGCCACCATAGAATACCCCACTCAGACACATTATACTGACTCCGAGCCGACCAGTCCTTGTTGTACCCATTAATGCCAAGCGCTAGGCAGGGACCAACAAGTACCATATTTTAGCGTCTTTTGGTATGACGCGGTCGGGGAACCAGCTTAGTACCGGAAGTAACGCCTTGCAAGACTTACAGGCCCTATTGCAATCGACATGGAAAATTATTTCAAGACATCAGAAGAGAACCTTTCCAAATTTTCCCGATGTTGTACTCTCAAATAAGCCGCCAAGCCTGTAACGAAAAATGCATACGCATTTATTGATACCTGTAATTTCGTATACTGAAAATTACAGTAATTATAGTTGATAATAAATACACTTGCCATAGAGTAGACAAGGTATGTGGTCTGAACTACCACAATGTGGGTTCGAATCTTGGATGGACTAAACCCCAAGAGTACTGATAATATAATAATGGCTATTTCTCTAGTCTGTATTCATGTGAATGTAGGCCATCGGCCCATGGTACAACGTTATACATTGACAGCCTTCAAGCTGTACCGACGACGATTGATAGCATAGAAGATAAACAAGGCAAGATTTCTTAAAACAAGAGGAGTAGCATTACTCATCAGTCGATTACATTTACACAAGGTTGGATGGGTGAAAACACCGACAGGGATAAAATGTTTACGTAGATCATCATAAGCAGTACAAATCAATAAGAAGTGGTACTTATTTATAAAGCGCCTGTATCCACGCATTTGTGCATGCTCAAGGCGCTTAGACATCATTACCCCGGTTAACCAGAGCTGCCCGTGAGGCGCTAGAAGAGTAACAGTCATATGACTTAACCCACCGGGTACCCATTCACTGCTAGATGAACAGAGGCATTTTTTTTACAAAACAAAAGAGACCTTATGCTTCACGCGTGCTTCGTTTTGGGTAAGGACAGAAGTTTTAGAAACTCTGCCAAACACGGTCACCAATCCAAGGACGCTCTGTGACCAACGATGCTTGACTTCAATTGTGACATGAGCTTTATGCACAAGATCACCGAGAGTGTACTTTACTTTGTATTTTAATGAGAAAATAAAATCCCTATTATAAGCTTTGTTGTCTATTATTGTATGATCAACACATTTTAAACAACTGACTAGTTCAACCGAAAACATGTATCCCAACACCAGCTGAATTCGACGTTCTGGTGATTTCGACGATTGCATTGTACGCGCTATATCGGGGGAGTACGTGTGCGATCGGAGTGCACAAACAGTTTCACTGGTAGGGCGGGTGCCAAGTCGCTGTCGAGAGAAGTTTTATTGACAATGGAAATCGGGAAGTAAAGTTATATAAAAAGCAAACAAACATCAATATTATTTACCCGAGATCGTTAATACCACTTACGATGCAAAATCAGTTCCCTTTATAACAAAAAATAGCAAGCGAAAATTCAGTTAGATCAGTCGTCTGCTGGTGACAGGCAATATATAAATAGGAAGCCACGTGATCACAACACTCCCTCGCAGTGCGGAGCAAAAAGTATTGCTCATCGTCGAAAACCCATACAAAATACCCGGAAGTTACGAGCGGCCACTGTTTCGCCGACACGATGTCATCAACGCTATTTTTGTAGGAAACACTTTATTTTTTTGTGTGAAATAGATGAATATATCCTTTATCACTCGAGGTTAGTAAAATAAAAACTTTAAATGATATTACAGATAAAAATTACGTTTTTGTCTTACATCGTCGAAAACCCCTGACACCGGGATATATATATTTGAATTCAAAATTGTCATTTTAGGTGTCGAGCCGTCGCGTTCTACAAGTGACAGGAGTAATGTTTGTTCTCCTAAGCATCGTCACCAAACTGGGAGCCGTCTTTGTCACCATCCCATACTCTGTGCTGGGAGGGTCCATGATCATGCTCTACGGTCCTCTAGTAGGCTTCATTCTCTCCAATCTACAGGTGTTAGATCTATCATCAACTCGGAACATTGCCATCATCGGTCTCTCACTCTTTGTTGGGCTTATGGTTCCCCACTGGATCACCACACGTCCTGAAGCAATCCAAACAGGTAAACGTGTGGTATTATAACTATGTCACCATTTTGCATGTACGCATATAGTATTGTATAATCGACAAGGTATATTTTATCAAATAGAACTACAAAACCCTTTCCACATCCATAAGGAATATACTTAACTTTCTCAGTACAAGTTTGTTCTTACTTCTAAATACAGTAGCAAGTTTTAACACGTTTCGATGAACATAAACATTTGGTGACAACTGTTTTTTTCCTATATTCGCTAAAGTAATCACAACACAAAAGTGCATGGAATTCATCAACACACCAACACAGTTATTCTGGCACAGGTTAGAGGTACTGTCGATTAGAGACATATTATCCCATCTGCCTAGTTCAACTGGTAATCTTTGACATGATGTCCGAAATTGAATATGTGGACACCACCCCGTTATGGAAGCTGTGTAAAATACATGTATGGTTCTGACGACAACTCGGATTACAGGAGTCTGTATGTAGTGGCTTTGCTGTATCACTGTGGACGTATTCCTGCTGGTGACCAGGTTGTACAAGTATGCGAGTGTATTCCCCAGCATCCACACGGTACGCACATCACAAAACTGTCTGGTTTGTTTGTTGAAGATTCAATTCAGAATTGCGAGATGTTAAACCCAATCTTGCTTGTGTCTTTCAGGTAATCCAGGTGCCGATAATTTCCTCAAGATCCTCCTGTCCAACCCAGTGCTGATTGGCGGAGTCATTGCCTGCTTCCTGGACAACACAACACCAGGTATATCGATCATCAATATTTTTTAACTTCAAGAATGGTACAAGGAATGATACAGGGACAGTTTCAGCGGCGAAATGTGGACGATCACCACTGTGATGTTACGATACATACCATAAGAATTGCTTTACCATTTTCATTCGTATCTGGACCTGGGCATTGGAAATGAAACAGATGGCAACATCCCACAGCACGAGAAGGATGACGTCGATTTTTCATCTTTCTCAGGCGAAGGATTTAGTTGACTGTAAAGGTCACTTTTCCACTGGACGTCATGAACTTCCCGTTCAGACACTGTCACTTTAGACGTATGCGCAATGATCATTTAACGAACTTTCTGGACAAAAGGGTGGGATCCGCCCCCTTCTGCATCCGCCTATGTATTGATATGAAACAATGCTTTTCAGCATTATACATTGCTTGTCAACATTACTGTGTGAACCAAAACACACAACTTACTATTTCCTTTTTGGCATATTCAATCAGTGAGAAAAAAATGGTCCTTGGAATATTTGAATATATTTCTGACAAATGTAACTGATATTTAAATTTAACCGCTCTATTATAGATCTAATTTTTCACACTTAGGTCACTCACGCACCCACTGTTGTTTCTTTAGGAACACGACACGAGCGAGGACTGGACTGGTGGGAGGATGGCTACAGCACGTCAGCTGAGAACCCGTATATAGAAGGGAAGGAGGTGTATGATCCCCTCTTTATACCGCGGCGACTAAGAAGATCAAAGACGGCCCGTTTTATTCCCATTATACCAAGTCGCCCTCCGACCAGCAAACAGCAGTGTGTTTGACAGAATGTTGCTGGAACTGCAAATGGCGGCAGTAAATGTGTGATGTAGTGTGTGATATGGCACATGGACGGAGTAATCATGTGATCTGATTGATCGTATTGCATTATGGTGGCAGTAATGTGATGTCATGTACCATATAACCGTGTAAATATCTAACACCATGTGGCATACTGGATATGGTTGCAGTAAATATCTAACACCATGTGGCATACTGGATATGGTTGCAGTAAATATCTAACACCATGTGGCATACTGGATATGGTTGCAGTAAATGTCTAACACCATGTGGCATATAGGATATGGTTGCAGTAAATGTCTAACACCATGTGGCATACTAGATATGGTTGCAGTAAATATCTAACACCATGTGGCATACTGGATATGGTTGCAGTATAAATATGTTCCACCATGTGGCATACTGGATATGGTTGCAGTAAATATCTAACACCATGTGGCATACTGGATATGGTTGCAGTATAAATATGTTCCACCATGTGGAATACTGGATATGCTTGCAGTAAATATCTAACACCATGTCGCATGCTGGATATGGTTGCAGTAAATATCTAACACCATGTCACATACTGGATATGGTGGCAGTAAATATCTAACACCATGTGGCATACTGGATATGGTTGCAGTAAATATGTTCCACCATGTGGCATACTGGATATGGTTGCAGTAAATATCTAACACCATGTGGCATACTGGATATGGTTGCAGTAAATATCTAACACCATGTGGCATACTGGATATGGTTGCAGTAAATATCTAACACCATGTGGCATACTGGATATGGTTGCAGTAAATATCTAACACCATGTGGCATACTGGATATGGTAAAATTGCAGTAAATATCTAACACCATGTGGCATACTGGATATGCTTGCAGTAAATATCTAACACCATGTGGCACACTGGATATGGTTGCAGTAAATATGTTCCACCATGTGGCATACTGGATATGATTGCAGTAAATATGTTCCACCATGTGGCATACTGGATATGGTTACAGTAAATATGTTACACCATGTGGCATACTTGATATGGTTGCAGTCAATATGTTACACTATGTGGCATACTGAATACGGTTGCAGTAAATATCTAACACCATGTGACATGCATAAGGTTGCAGTAAATATGTTACACCATGTGGCATACTGGATATGGTTGCAGTAAATATTAGTGTTGGGAATTGGTGTAAATCTCATAATTGATGATTGGTTCATTACAACCGATCAATCATCGAAAATAATTGGTAAGCGTCATTTATCAAATTTTCCTGGTTATGTTTGTTAATGCACAAAAAATAAAGAAAAAACATGTAGTTCTCTCGTGTTTTTCGCAAATTGCACAAAATGCATTTGCAAACACATCTTTAAAGGATGACTAGTGTGTTAGGAACATACATTTCCTGGAGTTGTTAAGATAAACGTAATCATGACTTGGAACGATCTTGTAGTGCTTATGCAATGTCGAGACAAAATCAACCTTTTGAAAAATATTGTTATTGCAAACAAGTGGTCCAAAATTGTTTGTGTTCGATTATGACAAAACATGATCGATTGCTTGGTCGTTTTGTCATTGCGACCAATCTTCGATTATTTCAGTTAATCGGACCACCACTAGTAAATATTCAACACCATGTTGCTTATTGGATATGGTTGTAGTAAATATGTGACACATGTGGCATATTGCATTTAGTTGCAGTAAATATGTTACACCATGTGGCATATTGGATATGGTTGCAATAAATATGTTATACCATGTGGCCTATTGGATATAGTTGCAATAAATATGTTACACCATGTGGCATATTGGATATGGTTGCAATAAATATGTTACCCCATGTGGCATATTGGATATGTCTGCAATAAAAATGTTACACCATGTGGCATATTGGATATGGTTGCAGTAAATATCTAACACCATGTGGCATACTGGATATGGTTGCAGTAAATATCTAACACCATGTGGCATACTGGATATGGTTGCAGTAAATATCTAACACCATGTGGCATACTGGATATGGTTGCAGTAAATATCTAACACCATGTGGCATATAGGATATGGTTGCAGTAAATATCTAACACCATGTGGCATACTGGATATGGTTGCAGTATAAATATGTTACACCATGTGGCATACTGGATATGGTTGCAGTAAATATCTAACACCATGTGGCATACTGGATATGGTTGCAGTAAATATCTAACACCATGTGGCATGCTGGATATGGTTGGAGTATATATTAGTGTTGAGAAATGGTGTAAATCTCATAATTGATGATTGGTTCATTACAACCGATCAATCATCGAAAATAATTGGTTAGCGTCATTTATCAAATTTTCCTGGTTGTTTGCTAATGCACAAAAAATAAAGAAAAAACAAGTAGTTCTATCGTGTTTTTTCGCAAATTGCACAAAATGCATTTGCAAACACATCTTTAAAGGATGACTAGTGTGTTAGGAACATACATTTCCTGGAGTTGTTAAGATAAACGTAATCATGACTTGGAACGATCTTGTAGTGCTTATGCAATGTCGAGACAAAATCAACCTTTTGAAAAATATTGTTATTGCAAACAAGTGGTCCAAAATTGTTTGTGTTCGATTATGACAAAACATGATCGATTGCTTGGTCGTTTTGTCATTGCGACCAATCTTCGATTATTTCAGTTAATCGGACCACCACTAGTAAATATTCAACACCATGTTGCTTATTGGATATGGTTGTAGTAAATATGTGACACATGTGGCATACTGCATTTAGTTGCAGTAAATATGTTACACCATGTGGCATATTGGATATGGTTGCAATAAATATGTTATACCATGTGGCCTATTGGATATAGTTGCAATAAATATGTTACACCATGTGGCATATTGGATATGGTTGCAATAAATATGTTACCCCATGTGGCATATTGGATATGTCTGCAATAAAAATGTTACACCATGTGGCATATTGGATATGGTTGCAGTAAATATCTAACACCATGTGGCATACTGGATATGGTTGCAGTAAATATCTAACACCATGTGGCATACTGGATATGGTTGCAGTAAATATCTAACACCATGTGGCATACTGGATATGGTTGCAGTAAATATCTAACACCATGTGGCATATAGGATATGGTTGGAGTAAATATCTAACACCATGTGGCATACTGGATATGGTTGCAGTATAAATATGTTACACCATGTGGCATATTGGATATGGTTGCAGTAAATATCTAACATCATGTGGCATACTGGATATGGTTGCAGTAAATATCTAACACCATGTGGCATGCTGGATATGGTTGGAGTATATATTAGTGTTGAGAAATGGTGTAAATCTCATAATTGATGATTGGTTCATTACAACCGATCAATCATCGAAAATAATTGGTTAGCGTCATTTATCAAATTTTCCTGGTTATGTTTGCTAATGCACAAAAAATAAAGAAAAAACAAGTAGTTCTATCGTGTTTTTTCGCAAATTGCACAAAATGCATTTGCAAACACATCTTTAAAGGATGACTAGTGTGTTAGGAACATACATTTCCTGGAGTTGTTAAGATAAACGTAATCATGACTTGGAACGATCTTGTAGTGCTTATGCAATGTCGAGACAAAATCAACCTTTTGAAAAATATTGTTATTGCAAACAAGTGGTCCAAAATTGTTTGTGTTCGATTATGACAAAACATGATCGATTGCTTGGTCGTTTTGTCATTGCGACCAATCTTCGATTATTTCAGTTAATCGGACCACCACTAGTAAATATTCAACACCATGTTGCTTATTGGATATGGTTGTAGTAAATATGTGACACATGTGGCATACTGCATTTAGTTGCAGTAAATATGTTACACCATGTGGCATATTGGATATGGTTGCAATAAATATGTTACACCATGTGGCTTATTGGATATAGTTGCAATAAATATGTTACACCATGTGGCATATTGGATATGGTTGCAATAAATATGTTACACCATGTGGCATATTGGATATGGTTGCAATAAATATGTTACACCATGTGACATACTGGATATGGTTGCAATAAATATGTTACACCATGTGGCATACTGCATGTAGTTGCAATTAGTATGTCACACCATGTGGCATGCTGTAAGTGGTTGCAGTAAATTGGGACACATGTGGCATGCACATGGTTGCAGCAAATATGTGATGCCATGTGACATAATGCATGTGGTTGCAGTAAATATGTTAAACCAAGCACCATACTGCATGTACTTGCAGGAAATATATGACGCCACGTGGCCTACTGGATATGGTTGCAGTAAATATCCAACACCATGTGACATGCACATGGTTGCAGTAAATATGCTACATGTGACATGCATATGGTTGCAGTAAATATGTTACACCATGTGGCGTACTGGTTGTGGTTGCAGTAAATATGTGACGCAATGTGGCATGCATATGGTTTTGTAAATATGTTACAACATGTGACATGCATATGGTTTTAGTAAATAGGTTACATTTGACATGCATATGGTCGCAGTAAATATGTTTCACCATGTGGTATACTGGATATGGTTGCAGTAAATATGTTACAACATGTTGCATACTGGATATGGTTGCAGTCAATATGTTACACTATGTGACATACTGGATATGATTGCAGTAAATATCTAACACCATGTGACATGCATATGGTTGCAGTCAATATGTTACATGTGACATGCATATGGTTGCAGTAAATATGTTACACCATGTGGCATACTGGTTGTGGTCGCAGTAAATGTGTGACGCAATGTGGCATGCATATGGTTTAATAAATATGTTACAACATGTGACATGCATATGGTTTTAGTAAATAGGTTACATTTGACATATATGTCATACTGGATATGGTTGCAGTAAATATGTTACATCATGTGGCATACTGGATATGGTTGCAGTAAATATCGAACACCACGGGGCATACTGGATATGGTTGCAGTAAATATGTTACACCATGTGGCGTACTGGTTGTGGTTGCAG